ACCTGCGGGCGAGACCGAAAGGCGCGGCGGCATGAAGCCGGGGCACAGCGGGCGCGTGGGGAAACACCCGCGACGGCATCACCCCACGGCCCCCAGGCTGGGTGCGCGGCCAAGAGCTACGCCGCATCCGCTCGCCTCCAGCAGTCCCAGACTTCTCATCCTGCTGCCCATCCTCCACCCCCAGGCACACACGCCAAGCCACGGGCGTGGAGAGCACCGCGTTTCACTAACGGCCGCACGGGAGGCTGCGTGTGCTTCGGCGTAACGGCGGGAGCATGCCATGCCATCAGTAACAACTGACACCAGCGATGCCAAACTTATTATGATACGTTTTCAAAAACTGTTCTCTTCACATTAATTTTTCATCCCAGAATATTTTCTATATTTAAATCCTGCAACAGATTGCTGCGTGGTTTAAAATCTAGTAACCAGGAAAAGAAGTCTCTTGCTCTTTTTTTTTTTAAATCTGCCACATATCCAAGTGGAATAAAATTCAGGCTCCTCGCACCTCTGGATGGCTACAGCCATCATGCTCGATGGCAACTTTTTAGTCACAGCAGAGGCTGAAATGCTGTTTCTAAGCCTGTGCTCAAGCACCTGAGAACGCTGCCTTCTTTCCCCACTTTTACTTTTGCACAAACGTTGTAGCTTTTCTTGCTTGCGAGCACTGGGCAGTGGGACCTGTAGTAACTACGGCACTTTGCTTTAGTAAAGAGATGAGCTAAACATGGACCCACCAAGGCATCCCATAATGTGGCAAAGCAAGCTCTGGGCCACGAGGTGTGCACCTCCCCATTTTTAAATATTCTCAGAAGACTTACAGGCTCGGCAACACCAGAGAATCCTCCTTTTTTCACACCTTGACAGGTCTTACCCCATCACAACGTTTAACTCTTCAGCACATCGTTCACCTCTTCAATGTCTAATGCTTATTCCCGTTTTTATTCAAATATATACTTGAAAACCCCTGGCTGTGTTGGGAACACGTTTCCAACAGCTGTACTCTGAAAACTGATCTGTACTTCAACGCAACGCACCACTCACCCTGCAAAGTTGGAGGGTTCTTTTATTCCTGTTTCCTGAAACCTCACTTTAACAGTATGTCTAAAATTAATTTCCTTTGTATATGTTTGACAAGAATAACTGCATGACTAATGCAATCGATGCAGAAGTCTTCCAACAACTTAGCTTTAATTTTCTTCCAGAATTTATTTGGCAGCCTAAAATCCTTTAAAGACAAAAAATAAACCTACCTGCCTAAACCTCCAGGTTCTCTGTATAGTTCAGTCTCACCATAGCAGTGGGAACTCTGAACACGCACATCAACAACTCCGCTGTCGTTGGAATACAAACGTGTTTGTCATGGCTGTTCCCCCTCACTGCCCGAGTGCAGCCTCTGGGTCGAAGCCATCAACAAGCTGGGGTTGTGCAAATGCTCCTTGTTGAAAGCAAGGCCCCATCTGGAGCACTGTGTCCATTGCTGGGCTCCCCAGTTCAAGAAAGATGAGGAGCTACTGGAGAGAGTCCAGCGGAGGGCTACGAGGATGAGGAGGGGACTGGAGCATCTCTCCTACGAGGAGAGGCTGAGGGAGCTGGGCTTGTTCAGCCTGGAGAAGAGAAGGCTGAGAGGGGACCTTAGAAATGCCTCTAAATATCT